CAGTGACTGTAGAGTCAGGCTTAAGCACATTTTGTTTGGAAACAACCCCTGCATGTATGGCTGACTTTTCTCTAACTGATCCCCTCCATCTCTATAACTGGAAGTGCCCTTGCTAATGTAGAAAGTATGGCCCATATGCTGCTTAGGACTCCAGCCAAGTACATTCAGATTCTTGTTTGACTTTCTTGTAGGCATCGCAAACTTAATGTGTTCATATTGGAATTTTCTAAAAGCTTCAAAGCTCTCCATGCCCAATTATCCCCATATCAGTTAGTGACATTATATTGCTTAAACCTGACACTTCCCTCTCCCCCATAAACAATAAATCCTTAAGTCCTGTCTGATTTTCCTTCTGAAATACATACCAGCGTCCCTCACTTCTCTTTGCTCTCCATTGCTACCGTTCTGGTTGAAGCTGCATTTATACCCTCCCATTCCTTCTTCACAGAGCAGCCAATGTGATCTTTCAAATTTTTAAATTGGGTTACAATTCTCTGTTTAAACTCCTTTAGTGACTTTCCTTAGCATGTAAACTAAAGTCTAATATCCCTATCATAACGTAGGCACCCCCCTCGCCATCTAGTCCCTCCTCAACCTTCCCTTTCATCACACAGCACTCTGTAACATCACTCACGTTGGCTTTTCAGAACCCTGAAGACACAAGGCTTTGCCTGCAGTGTTCTTCTCCTCTTTTACAACTTCCCACCATCGGGATGTAACAAATTTCACTCTCCCTGAAGTCGAGCCTCTCTCAGGTTATTCTCTATCGCTTTCCTTTCTAACATTTAGTAATGTGGTTTTTTGGTGTGTGTGTGTGTGTGTTTGTGTGTTGTTCATTTGTGTATTATCTCTCCATTAGACTTTATCTTTGTAACACCAGAATATCTGTTTTGTGCACCCCTGTACACCTATCATTTGGCACAGAGCCTTGAATATAGTGGGCACTAGAATATCTTTGAAATGACTGAATGGAAATTGAGCTGTATGTTTCACAGCTATTAGATCCTTAGGACCTTTTCCCCTGAATCGGTTCACTTCCCCCATCCCCCATAAGGTTGTATTACATGTCAGATTTGTACTACCATTAGCTCAATGCTTCTCACCAGGGAACAGTTTTGCTCCCTAGAAGACTCGGAGAGTTTGGATTGTCTTCACTAGGTAGGTGGGGGTATTAATGGTATCTAGCAGGTAGAGACCAGGGATGCCATTGAACATCAACCTGCACAGGACAGCCTGCCACAACAGAATGTTCCTAGTGCTGAGGCTGAGAAAGTCGGGTTTAGATCTATCCCAGTACTCCATAGGTTGTGTTTCTTGTAATTCCCTCCCCCTAGATAAGAAGTTCCTTAGACATACCTTGTTCACCATATGTTTCCAGTGCCAGGAATGTTTCCTTGAATGTATTAAATGGAAACCGGGAGAATTCTTGATGGAGGGTGGGTGAATAAATAAGTAAATGAATATAAAAACTAGCCATAGCACAGCTAGGCCACGTTGACCTAATTCTGGTATTAGACATTGATAATAGTTGCTTAGTCATTGAGATTAAATATAACATCTGCTACTTGTGGCATTGTGGCACAAGAGGTTCTGTAGCAGGCATTGATGAGCTATATTTCAAAGAGACTCCAAAGCAGAAGTGGCTTAGGAATACAATTTATTGTATTTTTTCAGTTAACTGTTCGGAGATGATTTACCAGGCAGGTGGGAAGCTGTGCTCCGTGAATTCCAAGTTGCCAAGTCATGCTTTTCCATCGGAGCCATTCCTTCTATAGACTGGGCTGGCGTGTAGTTCTAGGCTGCAGAATAGGGGCAGGATTGAGGAGGCTAGATGCCAGACCTGAAAAAGGCATACGCGTCTGGATACCTTTCATTGGCAAGCGCTCAGTCACATGGTCATAGTCAATTGGGAAATATGATAGAGCTAGGCAGCTGTAGCCCTCCCTCTCCATAGATATGCTACTGTTTATGGAAATAATGGATTTTGATGGGCACCCATCAGTTTCCACTACATGCTTAGCAATTATTTTAAGCTTAGATAAACATGTTTATGAAAATTCATGCTCTGTTTACTCTAGGATCTGAGAATTTTACTACCATGTTGTTTAAAAAAATTTTTTTTTATTAATAATTTTATTGGGGCTCATACAATTCATCACAACCCATACATACATCAATTGTGTAAAGCACACTTATGCATTTGT